AAAAAAAAAAAAAAAATTAGCCAGCGTGTAAGTGCCAGCTTGTAGTCCCAGCCTTTTGAGAGGCTGAGGCAGGAGGATCACTTGACCCTGTGTGGTCAATGCTACAGTGAGCCATGACTGTGTCACTGCACTCTAGTCTGGGCAACAGAGTGAGACCCTGTCTCAAAATAAATAAATAAACAAACAAACATAAAAAGAGTTGGATGGTGTTGGATTATAGGAGGAAGAAGAAAGGAACTGATGCTTATTGAAGGATTGCTGTGTGGGATTTGATCCTGACCACAGTGCACTGAGATAGGTATCATTCTGCCCACTTCACAGCAGAAGAAACCAAGACTGAGGGGAACACTCATGTGTGTTTTGAAATCTGGAAATAACTTGTTCTCCTAGTCCTAGAAGGATGGGCAGGGCTTTGATTTCCAGAGCTGGCTTTGCCTTTGAAATACCCATGAAAATCACCTGGGTCTCCACAGTGGAAAGAGGCCAGAAGATCAGCGAGCAGATTGTCATTGGCACCCCTGGGACCGTGCTGGACTGGTGCTCCAAGCTCAAGTTCATTGATCCCAAGAAAATCAAGGTGTTTGTTCTGGATGAAGCTGACGTCATGATAGCCACTCAGGGCCACCAGGATCAGAGCATCCGCATCCAGAGGTAGGGATCTCGAAGGCAGAGGACTCCTCAGCCTCCCCATCTGCAGTGTCTTCTCCCTTCACTTCAGACGCCTCCTCTGGCCTCTGCCAGGGTCTTGTCTCTCGTACTCTCAGCAGCATTTGTTTGACAGGCCATTTCCATGTCAGCACTGACCACAGTCCCTCCCAGCCCGGGCTGAGAAAGGAGACCCCAACCCCTGTCCCCTACCCAGGCCTGCTGCTCCTCCTTCCCCTTCAGCCTTCCTGGGCATCTAGACCCTCCCAGCTGGGGAGGCTGTGCTTCCGCTGCTTCCCGGGGCCACCTGGGGCCACATGCCAGGGCCTTCCCTTGCAGGATGCTGCCCAGGAACTGCCAGATGCTGCTTTTCTCTGCCACCTTTGAAGACTCTGTCTGGAAGTTTGCCCAGAAAGTGGTCCCAGACCCAAACATTATCAAACTGAAGCGGGAGGAAGAGACCCTGGACACCATCAAGCAGTACTATGTCCTGTGCAGCAGCAGAGACGAGAAGTTCCAGGCCTTGTGTAACCTCTATGGGGCCATCACCATTGCTCAAGCCATGATCTTCTGCCATGTGAGTAGTAGCAGCAGTGGCAGGCCTGGCCCTTCCCTCTCAGCCAGCTCCCCACAGGGCTCAGGAGGACTGGATGCCCCTGGGCGCCGTGGGAAGAAAGGAAGTGGTTTGTTCTCCTAAGGTTTTAATGAGTTGTAAGAGGGAGACTTTGATTCCACTTCTTAGTGATTACTGGGGGAAAAAAACCCCAAGTAACAGCCAATGAAATAATCTTTAGATTTTTAAGAATATAAGCTGGGCAGCCAGCATGGTGGCTCATGCCTGTAATCCCAGCAATTTTGGAGGCCAAGGCAGGTGGATCACCTGAGGTCAGGAGATCAAGACCAGCCTGGCCAACATGGTGAAACCCTGTCTCTACTAAAAATACAAAAAATTAGCCCTGTGTGGTGGTATGCACCTATAACCCCAGCTACTCAGGAGGCTGAAGCAGGAGAATTGCTTGAACCCAGGAGGTGGAGGTTGCAGTGAGCCAAGATTGTGCCATTGTACTGCAGCCTGGGTAACAAGAGCGAAACTCCATCTCAGTACAAAAACAAACAAACAAAAAAACCCAACAACAAAAAAGAATATAAGCTGGGCAAGTACATGTAGTCCCAGCTACTCAAAAGGCTGAGGTGGGAGGATCGCTTAAGCCCAGGAGTTCAGGCCAGCATGGGCAACAACATAGTGAGACCTCATCATTAAAAAAATATATACGGCTGGGCACGGTGGCTGACGCCTGTAATCCCAGCCCTTTGGGAGGCTGAGGTGGGGGGATCTTCTTGAGCCCAGGAGTTCAAGACCAGTTTGCACAACATAGCAGGATCCCATCTCTACAAAAATTTTAAAAATTAGCCAGGCGTGGTGGTGCATGCCTATGGTCCCAGCTGCTTGGGAGGCTCAGATGGGAGGATTGATTGAGCCCAGGAGGTTGAGACTGCAGTGAGCTGTGATTGTGCCACTGCACTCCAGAGTGGGCAACAAAATGAGATCCTGTCTCAAAAAGTATATAAAATTTTAATATATATATATTTTTTGTTTGTTAGTTTTTGAGATAGGGTCTTGCTCTATCATTCAGGCCAGAATACAGTGGCATGATCATAGCTCACTGCAGCCTTGGCTCTTGTTACTAGGGCTACAGGTGTGTGCTCCATGCATGTCAGGCTAATTATTTTTATTTTTGTAGAGATGGGATCTTGCTCTGTTGTGCAGGCTGGTCTCAAACTCCTGGCCTCGAGCGATCTTCCAGTCTCAGCCTCCCAAAGCGCTGAGACTACAGGCACGAGCCACCATATCTGGCAAGAACATAGACTATTTAGGAATGAAGATCTTTAGCTAAAACCACACTCTTCCTAGATAAAAAACTAACAGCAGTTACGTAACTTATCTAAAAAGAAAGAAATCATATGACGAAAATTCTGTTTGAAAAAAAAAATTTTTTTTGAGATGGGTTCTTGCCATGTTGCCCAGGCCAGCCTTGAACTCCTGGGCTCAAGTGTGTAGCTTGGACTGTAGGTATGTACCACCATACTTCATTGATAATTTTAAGCCTAACCTCCTAACTGGATTCAGCAGCGCCTTCATGTATTTTAATTGTGGCAAGCCACTTTTTTGCAGTTGTCTTCCTTTTGTTTTTAACAGGTCTGTTCATATAAAACAATTCTTTTCACTACAGACTCGCAAAACAGCTAGTTGGCTGGCAGCAGAGCTCTCAAAAGAAGGCCACCAGGTGGCTCTGCTGAGTGGGGAGATGATGGTGGAGCAGAGGGCTGCGGTGATTGAGCGCTTCCGAGAGGGCAAAGAGAAGGTTCTGGTGACCACCAACGTGTGTGCCCGCGGTGAGCAGAGGACGTGTCCTACCTGGTCTGCCAGGCTCGGGGTCCCAGGCCCAGTTAGAGCCAGAAATCCTTGTATACAGGAAAGTTGTATGGTCTCAGGGAGATCGGTGTGGCTGGTGACAATATTCCTTTCTAGGAGAGACTGTTTGCATTTCCCTCAGGTGATAAGAACTCACACATGCTGGGCACGGTAGCTCACACCTGCAATCCCAAGGCAGGAGAATTACTTGAACCCTGGAGATGGAGGTTGCAGTGAGCCGAGATTGTGCCATTGCACTCTATCCTGGGTGACAGAGTGAGAATCCGTCTCCAAAAAAAAAAAACGAAGAGGCCACGCGCAGTGGCTCACGCCTATAATCCCAGCACTTTGGGAGGCCGAGGTGGGCAAATCACCTGAGGTCAGGAATTCGAGGCCAGCCTGACCAATATGATGAAACTCCATCTCTAGTAAAAATACAAAAATTAGCCAGACGTGGTGGCATGCGCCTGTAATCCCAGCTACTCGGGAGGCTGAGACAGGAGAATTGCTTGAACCCGGGAGATGGAGGTTGCGGTGAGCAAGATCACGCCATTGCACTCCAGCCTGGGCAACAAGAGCGAAACTCCATCTCAAAAATTAAAAAAGAAAGAAAAAGAACTCTCACAGAAGCCAGGAGTCCTGACTTGGTGGAAGGAAATGTACAGGCATCTGAGTGGTAGAGAACAGAGCCTGCTCTCCAGGGGCGCCCATCTCCAGAACATTGTGTCTCCCAGAGACACAATCTCCCTGATTGATTTCATGATTTTGTTGGCACCTGCCAAAGTTCTCTTCTTTTCCTCTGGGTTCTGCTGCCTGCCTATATGTGCCCTCTCTTGTACCCAATTCCCAGAGTTGGCCTGTCCCAAATTCTTTCCCTCTATCGAAAGTTGGTATGCATTGACCTACCTGTGGACAACAGTGATTTCTGTCTCCTGTCCTTAGTCCTGTCACCCTCCATCTCTCCTTCCCATAGGCATCGATGTTGAACAAGTGTCTGTCGTCATCAACTTTGATCTTCCCGTGGACAAGGACGGGAACCCTGACAACGAGACCTACCTGCACCGGATCGGGCGCACAGGCCGCTTTGGCAAGAGGGGCCTGGCAGTGAACATGGTGGACAGCAAGCACAGCATGAACATCCTGAACAGAATCCAGGAGCATTTTAGTGAGTCCCGGGGAGGGTCCTGTGCCTGGTGCTCTTTACTAAGTGGGGTGGGGTGGGGAAAGGGGTAGGATCTTCTGTAGCCCCGAGAGAGGCTCTGTCCCTGGCACACTCCCCTCCTTTCTGACCATATGGCAGTTCTCAGGGCCACACCTGGAGACTTCAGGACCCAAGGACTCCAAGGACAGCTCCCCCATGACCGGGTTTCGGGGCGTGGGGCTCTGACTGTTGCTGTCAGTGACTAGGGGCCCTGCTGCCCCCTGCTCAGGCACCTGGAGCCTTTGGGGATGAATGAATGATTGCTGTGGCCCAGGGTGGGGCACATTCCTGGGCACGGTAGAGACCTGTGTATTTTTCCCCCAGATAAGAAGATAGAACGATTGGACACGGATGATTTGGATGAGATTGAGAAAATAGCCAACTGAGAAGCTCCACAAGCCACTGGTGCCAGCCCTGACACTGCCCCTGCACGGGAGACAAGTGCGTTCAGGGCACAGCCCCCAACATCACCCCAAGGACAACGGCATGAGTAGAGAGAAACTACCTACCTCACTTCAAATTATGTTTGGACTTGACAAAAATGTGTGCAAATGACGGGGGGCAGTAGAAGGAAAAATTTGCATTTTGGAAAATTGGGTCCTTTCCCCACTTTTTTAAAAGCCACATTTCCCCCATCTTTATAATAATCTGGTCACATTGGCAGTCACTGGCCCCAAGACCCCCTTCAGATTTTGGCTAGGCATCGTGGAACCAGCTCCAGCCCTTGAAGAAATGGTAGACATGCAGGTTGTGCGGAGGAGGCTGAGTGGAAAATGGTGTGAGCCTCACCGCCATGGATTGAACGAGGGAAGCGGCAGCAGAGGAGGCCAGAGCTGCCCCCTCCCTGTCTCTTCACTGGACCCTTCACATGTGTTTCTCTTGCCCTTGGGCCGTCTTCCTTCTCCTGAAATCCAGAGACTTTCTTGCTTATCCCTTCTCCCTTTCACTTCTGTTCTCTGCTGCAGAAAGTAGCCTTGCGTATCCCTGATGAGCAGCTCAGCTACTTTGTAAACTTCAGATTTGGAGAGAAACATGGAAGTCAGTGAATCCTGACCTCTTGAGAGAGAGTGACCTGGCAAGGGCCGATGAAGGGGCTGGGCCTGGGCTTGACTTCTCTTCCTTCTCTCAGTTGCTCCCTCTGCTTAGGCCCCTGGTACTCAGTTGCGGCAGCCGGGAGACCCCAGGTGAGTTTGTGAGCACACACGTAGTTGGTTCTTACCCCTGGGTGTCACACTGGGCCGGGAGCTGAGCAAGAGTTTGGAACGGAAGTTATGACCAAGGGAATACTCTGATTATGCTGCTCATTTATAATAGTGGACATTATGAAGAGCTCTGATTCCTGCATAATATGAATAAGGATGAATAGGCCGGGCGTGGTGGCTCATGCCTGTAATCCCAGCACTTTGGGAGGCTGAGGCGGGTGGATCGGTTGAGCTCAGGAGTTCGGGACCAGCCTGGCCAACATGATGAAACCCCGTCTCTACCAAAGATAGAAAAAATGTAGCTGGGCGTGGTGGCGCACGCCTGTAGTCCCAGCTACTCGGGAGGCTGAGGTAGGAGGATCGCTGAAGCCTGGGTAGAGGCTGCTGTGAGCTGAGATGGCGCCACTGCACTCCAGCCTGGGTAACAGAGTGAGACCCTGACTCAATAAATAAATAAGGATGGATAAATTATAGCTGTATGCATCATTCATTATGCTAAGACATTTTAAAGTAATTATGAGAAATGCTCTACTAATCATGATTTGTTTTTATTTGTATTTTTCCGCTTATTAGACAAATATATACTCATTTTAAAAAGGCGTGTGTGTATATAAAGTGAGAGTGTTCTCTATCCCTACTTCTCTGGGATCCTGATTCCTGGCAGCTTGGTGACTATTCTACCATATTGCCTTTTATTTGCATAAACCCATTTTTCTTTTACAAAAATGGGAACATTCTATTCACACTACTGTGCAACCTGCTTTCACTG